GCACTATTTTGGCAGAGGTATGTAAAACAACACACGTATTCAAGTTACAACAATCCCAAAACAATTCGAACAATCAACAACATGATATAAACAAACACTAAAATATCATATGGCATATACTCACACACTCGAAAGCAAAAATTAGGACAACAAAAAACAAAAGTTCCTGCATAAATGATAAACGATCCTATGTCTCACACACAACAAGGTGCATAAAACAATTAATATTCATCACTTGAAAGTGCTAGGAAAATTTAAATGATTGAAAATATTACTTATTCCAATTTATTTAGAGAATTTACAAAACAATATAACAATCTAAAAAAGAAAATGTTTATTACAGTTACTGCATATTATTTAATACTTAAAACTTATTTTCAACATTATTTAGAACTACAAAACTCGTCAAATTTCTTCGACAAACTTCAAGTAAAGTAAAGTACAATACTTCCATTACCCGTTCGTTTCTAAATGTTTAAATTATTCAACATTGTTTTAAGCAAACAAATGAAACCAAAAACTAAAAACCGAAACACGCACTGACTCACCCTAATGTCATAGTCTTAACCCCGTTTTAATTGTCCTTGTCTCCAGTTAAAAAACGATTTGGTTTAAGTTTTATTATTTTTTTAAATTTCCTCGTTTAAATGTCCCCCATTCTGAATTGGTATATATTTTTCCCCAAAATATTTTTTCTAACCAAGAAATGACCTTTGAAAATTTTCCAAAATATTTTTTTGTTAGTTCTATAACCTGTACATAGTTAAAAATAAAGCGTCCGAGAGAGCACACTGCATGGCTTGAAAACAAAAACCGAAAATCTTCGACATTTTGTGCTGCTCCCTATTAAAAGAAATTATAAAATTTAACCAGGCTGAATATTTCAACACCAAGAGCCGCACTTGCAAATCGAAAGGAACCAATTTGGGTCCTCAAACACGTTTTTTGCTCCACCCCACTTTCGAAACATTTGTTTTTGTGTAATTCTCGCTTTAAATTTAGTGGCAAAAATATTGCAAAATAGCAAAATGAGAGAAACATTTTTGTTGAATTGAAAACCAAAAACAAAGCAGCACTTGATGGGTAGTGTAGATGAGATTACTGACAATTTGTTGCTATTTTTTTTTTACTTTAGGAGTGGTCTGCTGAATTTCAGTGCCGTGGCTTTGGCCCTAAACGACTTGGGCTACCATGCTCTGGGCATAAGGATCGATTCCGGGGATCTGGCCTATTTATCGTGCTTGGCGCGGGAAACCTTCGAGAAGGTGGCTGAGCGATTCAAGGTTCCGTGGTTCAACAAGCTGACCATTGTGGCATCTAATGACATCAACGAGGACACAATTCTGAGCCTTAATGAACAGGGACATAAGATCGATTGCTTTGGCATTGGCACGCATTTGGGTGAGCAATATAAGTAATGACTAACTTAATAAGAAATTTAGCAGGAAGTTTATGAAACCTTGTATCACAAAAAATGAAATAACTGTAATTCAATTTGAGTATATATATGCTTAAGTACAACGTAGCTTTGCCGATTTAAGGATTCATTTTGTTGTTCATTTAATTCTTCAGCTATTTTATATCGTTGTCCGTTCTTTTTAAACTAGTATGTTTCAATGAGAACTATATGATATAATCGTCGTATACGGTTCATTCCGATTTATTTAAGTTAGTTTTAAAATAGAGAGACTATCTTACGAAGAAACGGACAACAAAACGGACAAATGGTGATCAAGCATATATTGACTTTAAAGGTTTGGAAAGGTCTTACTTACTGCGCTATAAACTTTCTTAGCATCTTCTGATTGAATTACGCGGTATAACTAAGTATATATTTGAAACTTACTAATATCGATTTCCGAATTAAATCTCCAGTAACCTGCCAGCGTCAGCCGGCACTGGGATGTGTGTACAAATTGGTGGAGATCAACGGCCAGCCGCGAATCAAACTGAGCCAGGATGTGGAGAAGGTGACGATGCCGGGCAATAAGAATGCCTACCGGCTTTATAGTGCCGATGGCCATGCATTGATCGATCTGCTGCAGAAGGTATCGGAGCCACCGCCGGCAGTGGGCCAGAAGGTCCTGTGCCGCCATCCTTTCCAGGAGTCGAAGCGCGCCTACGTGATACCCTCGCACGTGGAATCGCTGTACAAGGTGTACTGGAAGTCGGGCAAGATCTGCCAGCAGTTGCCCACCTTGGAGCAGGTGCGCGAGAAGGTACAAATCTCACTGAAGACGCTGCGGAATGATCACAAGCGCACGCTCAACCCAACGCCCTATAAGGTGAGTGCCATAGTACCATAGTTATTAATAGTTTAAAATTGCTTAGAGCTGTCTTATGGATTAGTATGCAATTACCAACACAAACACAAAACAAATCTCATTTGAGTTAGCGATAAAGAAAAACTTACTTAACACAAAAGGCAAAAACAAATTGGCGATGAAAAACAAATTGAATGTTATTGTTGTTTAGCTTTGCCTCATTCTTATCATCATCATAAAAAAGAAACGAAACAATGCTAAAAATGAGATGATTTTCCGTAAATTAAATCTTATTTCCCACAATCCTTTTCCAGGTTGCCGTCAGCGATAATCTGTACAACTTCATTCACGATCTGTGGCTGCAGAATGCTCCCATCGGCGAGCTCTCATGATCTATATAAGTAGGATCTAACGATCTATTTTGATGATGCGCGAAAACATTTCCGAGAAATTTACTTTTATTTGGTGTACAATTTATTGTTGGCCACGATCTGCGGGCTTGTGGTTTAAATTTTAGTCATTTGCTGGTCATATGCATTGTAGAATTGGAATTTGTTCGATCCCACGAAGATTTACCCCGAATTTGGAGCACAAATTCCAACGCGAACTTGCGAGTGAATTTCAAAACATTGTGTAGTCAATAGTTTTAACGTGTTATATATATATCTAATAATAACTGCTATATAAAACGCACATCATATTCAGGAATGTGTCATGTGCCTTAAACGAGAAGCGGGAACGGAAAACGAAAAGAGAATCAGGATGCAGAGCCCAAAAAAAAAAATAACTTAGATCAACCAAAAATCGGAGCGAAAAAACCAAACAGATAAAGATGTCTTTAATATTTTTATAGTACTTAAGTGTTGAAATGTTGCTAACGGAGGATAAAAGTAAGAAGTACAAATGCTTTTTAGGACATTTGCACGCAATAGGGCACACATCAATCACACACTTAACTCTATATATATATATATACTATATATATATATGTTACTTTACATACTACGTTTATGTATTTAACTAAATTCAATTGTAAATATGTTTAAGTGGATAATTGTAAGGCAACTAAGCAATACAAACACACAACCAACACAACAAACACACACCGCCACCACTGAAATACCGCTTCTTAACAATGTTTGCCTGTAGTTTTGATCGAAAATAAAAAGTGAAAGTAAACACGCAAAGGTTGTCGTATTTTAAAGTTTAGCTAAAAATCAATTTATTTACTTTCAAAGTCAAGTATTTGTAGTTTTCCATTAACTAAAATTCAGTGTCCGACTGGCAAATGAAACCATATTTATCGGAACACTTGTTGTCGTTCATTTCGATTCCACCAAGTAGTTCAATGCAGCGCTCTGCGTTTCCCGCGTGATTTGGCTCTCCAGATCCCCATTTTAAAAATGGAGCAACTTTGCCCGAAGCCACGGACATGTATATTCCACTGAACTCCCGATCGTTGATACCCAGCCAGTATCGGTTTTTTGTCAGCTTAACTTTAATGGCAGCCAGCTCCTCTGCATCTTTGATGGCGGCCAAATGGGCACCCATTTCGCGACAGCTTTCTTTGGCTTCAAGCCAACTTTTCTCCGTATCATCAATGTAGAAGTATCTGGAACCTATGAGCTTGAATTTGGGAAATTCAATTTTGTGAAAAATTCTGGTTAGTGTGGTCTGCAGTGCGGCTCTTTCGGTTTCCATCTTTGTTTGGAATGCATTCTGCTGGACTTCTATCTTGAGGAGTCTCTCTTCAAAATTCTTGCCCATTTCTTGTAGTGAACTTTGCAAACCTTCAATTTTTATCTGATTCGCGTTGTGCAAGTCTTTCTGATTTGTTTCCGTTCTCTCTAGTCTTCCCTTCAAGTCGTCGAAGGATGTGGTTTGACCTTCTAGCGTGGTTTGTATTTTGTTCAGTTTAGCTTGGGTGTCCTGTAGTTTAAGGGCATCGGAGGTGTTCCATTGCTCCTGGTGCTTGGCAATGTGATTGAGGAGGGGTTCCAGTACCGAAAGGCAGAAATCTCCGCACTGATTCGGCGGATCTTGCAGTAGGCATACAGATCTGGCTTTATCCTGGCCCTCCGATTGGCATCCATGCAAATAAAAGGCAATGAATGCACAAACAAAATAGGTTTGGATCCGGAGCATTGCGAATTCGACAACCACGAGACGAGAGAGTTTTAAACGTACTGATTCCGGACACATTTCCTGACTTTCGAAGAGCTCTGAAGTTGATAAGAACCCCGTATTTATTATATAAAAGTCGCATATGTATAATAATCAGGAATGCTGGATGACATTACTTTTGGGCCGTATCTTTGTTGCTTATATTCTACTCCTATGGGCATATCAATTAGAGAAAATGTTTGTGACTCTTAAAACCCCCTCCTTATATAATAAAAGCATTAATATAGATTAAAAGTAATAATAACATCAGAGTATTTATTTACAAAACTGAACTAATAAAAGGAAATAGTACGAAAACAACACAATATATGTATATTTTTATAGAGCTTATAAATAAATTATTAGAAATGGCATAAGACACAAACATTTGCAACTTGCAACCGAAAGAAGAAAACGGTTTTAATTTAACAAAACGAAAAGCTTAACAATTTGAATTTTTAATTTTCGCGCCCTTTTTCACTTTGGCGTTGCCAGACTGTTTAATGAAGCCGCATTCACACAGAATTTATCCAACAGCTACGTTTCGTTGTGATTGTTGATTTGCCGGACGGTATAAATTCTCAATAGCTGCGCGGTCACACTGTTTCCTGCGAACAGTTGTGTTGATTTGATAAATAAATACAAAATTAAATAAAAAGGTTAATAAACAAATGAAAATTAACAGATTTTCCTTTAGCGGACAACTTGACCAACAGGCAAAAGAGATTTATCAAGTGGAAAGGCGACAGTTTCCCTTAATTTTCTGCAGCTGCGCAACTTGCCAAGAAAAACAACAACAACAACAGTGATTCAGAGAGCCCCCAACCCAAAAAAAAAAAACAAATGAAGTTTCCTCTTGCTTAATTGATTTTTAACCAGATTTATATTTATAGGTTGATTTATCGATACACCTGAACATGGAGGGCGATGCGGAAAATCGCAAGGATCAAGTCCTTGAGCGACTAAACAAACGTAACAAGGACAGGCAAAACTATTTGGATGTGCAATCCGAACAGCGTTCCAAGGAATCGGTGCAAAACGAGGGCGTTGACTACTTTTCGCAGACTTTCCGGCAACGAACGATCGATATAGAGCAGCGATTGAAGGATCTGCAATGTGGCGATGCCCCGTCCCCGGATTTGGCCAGGAATTTTGCGGATATAACGTTAGAGATTCAGGATTTGCAGCGATACCTCACCGCATCCACCATGTTTCTCTCGGACTTTAAGATCAAATCCTGTCAGAATATTCTGAATACCCTAACTGCAGTCAGCGATGAAACCCGCCAACGCCTGATGCCCAAGAAAAAGTTCGGTTTTAGTGGCAAAAAAACGGCTACCAAACAGAAATCATCTGCAAATAAGGATATTGTTGATTCAAAGCTCAGTAAAACCGCCGAAAAACTGGGCTCCAACTTTAGCTGGACCATTGAGAATCGCAACAACGAGCATATAGTTCTAGATTCCAGTCAAGTAAATGGTCAGGATATCACCATTTCGAATATAAGCCACTGTCTGGTGGAACTGCAGGGACATCCCGGTTCTGTGCAGGTTTCCAAAGCCTCGCATTGCACTTTGCTGTGTGGTCCCATCTCCAGATCCTTCTTCGCCGAGAATATGGATGAGTGCACCCTGTCCATTGCTTGCCAGCAGTTAAGATTGCACTCATCCGGCGCTATTCGTATCTATCTGCATGTCACCTGTCGCGCCATCATCGAGGATTGCAAGGACATCCAGATCGGGGAGTTCAACTATGATTATTCGGAACTGGAGGCCGATTACCTAGCCTCGGGACTCAATAAGTCACAGAACAACTACACGGATGTGGCAGACTTCAACTGGCTGTCGCCCGATGTCCATTCGCCCAACTGGAGCCTCATTAAAGACCATCCCGATCCGAACTGGAATGCCTGGCGACGGGATTTCATCGCCAATAACCACAATATTGGACATAAGCAGGGTGATAATGTGGTAAAGGATACCTCCATCATTTAGTGGCTCTGGAAAATGCTGCTAATGACACCCAATTAGTGGGTTTAATAATCGGCGATCTGTGTAAATAGCTTTAAGCGTGTTGAATAAATAACCATTGTATCGAAGAACCAAGCAAATGTCACATTTTATTGCTACAAAGGCCTTTTTTAAATTGTTTGCCTTTTTCATTTCCTTTTTCAAATGAATATTATAGCCAATACAAGATAACACAGTTGAGGTTTTGAATTCCAAATTTATTAAAGACGTTTTTAGTTATTTACAATATGTTTAATATTTTTATTTTTATTCATTTTTAGGAAAGTATTCGTATAGTTGGGAATTCGTCTTGGAAAAAATTTTAAGCTCGATATGTTTGACTGCATATCTTCTTGTTTATGTGCATGTCTTGGCTAATTTGACATGTCCATTTCGGATGTGGCATAATCAGCGGTTGACCAAAATGGATGTGGCTGCCATACAAATTACGGAATGTGAGGACGAAGGACGATGACGCAGACACAGACAGGTCTCATGCAAGTTTCATGTGGCCACAACAGGACCTCTCAAGTCGTTACCTCTGTTGTCTTCATATTGACGAGGGGCACTCAACTTACTCAACAGGTTCGTACCGAAAAATCTTAGTTTTTTAATGTTTAGAAAGGGAATACAATTGTAATGTTTATATTTAATTTACTTTTAAATTAATTTTAGTTTAAAAATTTGAGCGACACTTAATACTTATACATGTTTCCAATGTATTGAGCGCTCACTGTGTTTTTTATATTTTACAACTGTTAGTGTAATCGCGCTTCGACTTTCTTAAACGGTTAATCTCTCACTCTCTCTCTCTCCATTTCACTCATTCCTTTGGCTTTGCGTGTGTCCACTTGTTCGACTGTCAAAATAATTAACGAATTCGAGTTACAAGCTGTAAATGGAGGGATACATACATACATATATACATGGCTTGAGAACAGAGAGGAGAGAGAAGGAGAGAAATGTGACAATATCGACATCTCATATAGAAGAGGTAATCGAACTGCAAATTACACAAATTACGCAGAATGTGCGAGAGAGTGGTAGAGAGGTGAAAAAAATAGATAAAGGGAGATTGAGCGGCAGGTAATAAGCTGTCAAAACTACGTCTCCTAAAGAAAATGGTTCAATAAAACGTGAATGTAAGATGAAAAAATACGGAGGTGCCAAACCAAGAAAAGCTGAAGCTAGAAAATCCAAGAAAAGTCAAGGCAATTAGGGCACTTCCGATTTTATTTTTGCTTGCTCTCCAAGATCTTATCAAAATTGAGCGTCTGTGCCTGTTAAAAAGAATACGAAAAGAATTCAGGTAAAGCAACAACGTCACTTAATTTAAAACGGTAAATGGCAACATTTTCTGTAGTTTTCTTTCTTAAGAAACGTGAAAAAATGTAATATACATACATAAGTGATTTTTATGTATTTAGTGGAGATCAACTAAGTTCTAGCATCTTAAAAGGGTAAGCAAATTTTATTAAAGCCAACAAAAATTAGTTGGTCGTAAAATAACCCTTTAATCATTGAATTATGTATTTTAGTACATTGTTATTAGGTAATTGTTTATGTGATTTAATATTTTAAATATTCCAAACATATTATGTTTAATCTATGGTTAACCCAACTTGCTCCAATCTAATTGCAAATGAATTGTAAATGATGTCACAAAAAGGCCTTAATTCGCAATCACCTGTTTTTCACCAGTATTCTCCAGTTGGTGAATAGAAGACTCAAAATTCGATAGAAATAATTTTCATTCTCAACATTTGTAAGCAACAACAAGAACAAATGCTAACAATTTGAATTTTAAATTAAGGAGTAATTTGGTGGCAGAAAGATAAAGTGGGGGAGTAGTCTTAAAGTTTCAGGGAGAAGCAAAATCACGAAAACACAAAACTCATGCAGCTTGCAGCACGAATGCAATTTGAGAAGTTACACCAAGAAAAAAAAATAGGAAAGCTAATTTCTACTCTAAAAAATTTCTATAAATTGTTATTTATTGTTAATTTAGATCTCTATTTTAAGAACTGCATTTTTTTTTACATGTACACTAATGTGCGTAAATACTTTTGACCAACCCAGTACAATATTAAAATAATTTAAATTATATTGTATAAATATATTTTTTTAATACTTAATATACCAAAGTGGTTGTATATTTTAGTTTTATAAAAAATATATGATTTCATTTAAATTTAACCATACTTCAAACTTACGCTAAAAAAGTGAATGAAATGTAGTGTAGTGTAGAAAAGGCGGCGGATTGTTAGAGAGACAGGACAATTAAAAGTTCGAGTTGCATCCTTCTCATTATCGGTCGCCATTTTAGCATCGCGATGAAAATTCAAATTCGGAAAATTCAAACTATGTTTAGCGTACACATGTACATACGTATGTATTTGGACAAATTGCGTATAACAAGCTGCCAGGTCTTCAAAAAGTATTAAATTCATTCCGCGCTTTCTGTTTCTAAGTTTTAGAAAAATCCAAGATTTTTACCATATAATAAAAAATCTTAAAAAAAAACTACTTCATTTTTTTGTAAATGTGTTACCTTTTAGTCTTTTTTTGTTTGGTGCGGCTTCAATTTCCTTTTATTCAAATGAATCCCGATAAACCATTAAATCTAATTGGTTTTACTCTTGAACAGTGTTGGTAATTCCAGCCACACACCCACCTGTGACACACACCACACACATAGGCACACTCACACGAGTAAGTGCATCTGGTGCTGCCACATTTGCATAGCTCACAATTAGTTTTCTCATTATCGCAGATAATATTCGCCGCATTTGCGATAAGACCGAGACCCCTAACAATGGTGACCGCCTCCACATTAATATTATTATGCCTGTAATTGCCCGTCTCTCTCACACTCCCACGAAATGGCAGTGCCCATGCTTTGATGGTTTCAATTACTGCAAAATTACCGACCCGCGTCACCTTCGTCTTCACCGCCTTCGCCTTCGCCTTCGCCTTCGCCTTCCCAACTTTGACCCACATCCAATCCACAAATGCCTTTGTGTGCGGATTTTATGGCTCAGCTGATGCAACGATGCTAATTTACGCATTTAGTTAAGCAGCACCACCACAATGGCCCAAAATCAAGCTTAATTTCGTAGTGTAATATCAAGAAAATAAAAGTCAAACAATGGAAAATCGAAGAATGAAACCCATTGAATAGTAAACATTTATATTTTAATTGGAAAGCACTATAATCTTATTTTGCTTTTCCTAAAACCAAAATTTAAGTCAACATACAGACATTCGAGAAAATATCACTCATACGCACCGTATATCCTAGAGCTAACTTAAATAAATTTCTGTCAAACCATTTATCAGATTTTAGCAGCTAAGAGCTAACAACTTACGGGTCTTAGAGGATTAATTATGGAGTGTATGCTGCCAATTTTGCACAACAATTTCTCAACGGAAACTCTTTCCGATATTGATAAACGCAAAAATGTTGATTAATTAAGCGAATTACGGGAGTCATGCAGTGCAATTAAAATGTCAGCGCAGCCACAGAGTGTCGGAGATATATAGGATTGGGTTATGCAACGCTCTCTACTGGCCTTTTTTTTATTCGCAGCTTGTCTCGGTTTTTTTCTTTCTCCTTCCCCGTTGCGAATTCCCTCGCTTCGCGAATCTCCGCTCTGCGTGTGCAGCTCAAATTGTAATTAATGATGCAAGACAGCCGGCAGCCTCGTCCCCTTTCACACCCAGATCCCCCACAAATTCCCCCTTGCGGCCGCAGTCGGATCTAAACCGAAAATCTCTGCCTGGCCTTGTCATCCTGCCCCGCCCACGGTGTGGCTTCCGCCTCCCCTGGCTGTTGGTTTATTCTACCCTGTAAATAGGGGGGTTTTCATCTTTCCGATCCCTTCTAGTTAATTCATAGTCAATGCTATCTAAAATAAATTCTTTCACAAGAGCTTTGCAAAGCACTACGCTATTTATATTACATTCTTAGTATGGAACAGTAAAATACCAAGTGGTTTTTAGTATCAGGAAATTATAATATACTTAAATTAACGAGTAAGCCAGTTAGGCACTGATCTCGTTTATGATCGTAGATTTTTTGTGATGCCTTTTTATTTTAGAGCATTTCCATCTTCGTTCAAGTATACTTTTGCCAATTCGCCTGCTGTTTGTTTACTTAAATCATCGACGCGGTGCGCGTTTTAAACGCGTTTCTCATGCTTTTCGTGTAAATAAATGAAAAGTTCGTTTAATTCTCGTCGATTCTTTATGCGTTGAACAAGGAAATGGTGAAGCGGGCTGGAGAAAGGAGGCGAGGGGGCGTGGTCTGGTATCGTTTACTTTGGAAATGAAAAATTATGATTACATCAACAATAATCGAAATGCGCTTGTAAGCTGCTCTGTTGTTGTCTCTCTCGCTGTCCCTGTTCCTGTCTTTTTGCGCCTCCTCTTTTCCCTTCCCGCTTTCTCTTGCAATTCCGTTCTTGCTTTCCGCACTCCAATTCTACACTTGAAAAATGTATTATTTAAATACAATTGAACTGAAGTAAGAAACCAAAATTCATTGCCAAAATTAAATTATAGATACACCTTTATAGCTACAATTTTAATATTCCCTATAAAATAACAATTTTTTAATTATAACCAACAAAATCATGTTTACTTAAAATATTAAATTTATAGGGGCGCACCTTCTTCATTAACCTCTTTTTTTCATGCTCCCATATTTTATAGGAAATATCTATTAATATTTAGGTTTTATTTTGATATTTCAATGTTTTCGCCCAGTGCTTTGCTATCTTTCGGTTGGCTCCCTTACTCCAGTCTTTTATTATTTTTGTTGTCATTTTCGTTGTGCTTTGCTCGTTTTGGCCATTTCTCTTCGTTCGCGTTGCTGACTTGCAACGCTTTCATGCGTAGCATTCAATGGAGTAAAGGGGGTAAAAGCGGGGGAGTTGGGGAGGGAGTTATGTTAACGTTCAATATTTGTGTTCAAAGTAAAAAATCGAGACGTTTCCTGGTCTTTCCGTTTATTCCCCACTTTCTCCGACGCGTTCAGCCAAATGTATGCAATGCAAAATCGGAAAAATGCGCGTGGCAGCACCTCAGCTTT